CCCCACTAAAGATAAATCAATCTAGTTGGCCAAACCAAACGGACAGATCAGAGAGACATAATAATCTTATTGGAAATATGTGAATACGTAAACTACATTGTGTCCCTAGTAAGCCTCTGCAAGACCAGATCGTTGATCAAAGATGGTTATGGTTTCCTAACCATATAAATTAGTTGTGATTTGATAATGGGATAACATCATTAGGAGAATGATGTGATAGACAGACCGAACTGTAAGCTTAGCATCCGATCCTTTAGTTATTTGCTACAGCTTTCTTCATGTCAAGTATCAGGTCCTTAGACCATGAGATCATGCCACTCTAGGATATCGGAGGAGTACTTTGTGTGCTATCAAATGTCACTTCATAACTGGGTGATCTTAAAGGTGCTCAACAGGTATCGCCGAAGGTATTTGTTGGGTTGCATGGATCGGGACAGGGATTTGTCGGTCCGTGTGACGGAGAGATATCTCTAGGCCCTCTCAGTAATGCAACATCACAAGAAACTTAAAAGCATGTGGGTAATGAGTTTAGTCATGGGATCTTATATTACAGAACGGGTAAAGAGACTTGTCTATAATGAGATTGAACTAGGTATGGAGATCCCGACGATCGAATCTCGGGCAAGTAACATATGGCCGGACAAAGGGAATTGTATATGGGATTAACCAAATCCTTGACATCATGGTTCAGTCGATAAAGATCTTCGTTGAATATGTGGGAACCAATACGGGGATCCATGTCCCGCTATTGGTTATTGATCGAAGAGGAGTCTCGGTCATGTCGACATGATTCTCGAACCCGTAGGGTCACATGTTTAGCGTTCGGTAGCGCTAGGGTAGTATTGAGATATTAATAGTGGAAAGTCTTAAGATTGTTCGGAGTCTCGGATAGGATCTGGGACGTCATGAGAAGTTCCAGAATGGTCTGGAGGTAAAGACTGTATATGGAAAGTTGTTGTCAGGATTCCAGGAAAAAGTTTGGTTTTTCGGTATTGTACCTGAAAGTCGACGGAAGGTTCCGGAGGGTTCCAGAGGGGTCTAGAAGTCTTAGGAGGGTTCCACCACGTCCCATACAGTATCATGGGTTGTAGGGGAGCGCCCAGGCCTTAATGGGCCAGGGGCACCAACCCCTACAAGGCCCATGTGCCTAGGAGTGGAAAACCCTAAAGGGGAGGACCCTCCACTTGGCTTGGAGGGCGTTACTCCCCTCCTTGGACGCCACCCTGTCACTTGGAGAGGGGAAGGGGTTGGACACATCCCTCCCCCTATATAAATAGAGAGGAGGCGCAAGGGGCAACCCAACCCTTGACCACGTCTACCGCCTCTCCCTCCTCTTCTCGTTTGTGTAGCGCTTGACGAAGCCCTGCCGAAGTTCCGCTGCCACCACCACTCCGTCGTGTTGGATTAGATCTCATCTACCTCTTCTCCCTCGCTTGCTAGATCAAGGAGGAGGATACATCACCGAGCCGTATGTGTGCTAAATTTGGAGGTGCCGCGCGTGCGGTGCTTGGATCGCGAATCGAGTACCACTACGCCAACCATGATTCATAGATCTTTAGCGCTTTCGATGAACAAGGGTATGCATACTCACTCCCCTCTCGTAGCTATGCATCTCCTAGATTTATCTTGGGTGTTCGTAGGAATTTTTTTGATTTTCATGCTTCGTTCCCCAATAGTGGTATCAGAGTTAGGTCTATGCGTAGATGTATATGCACGTGTAGAACACAAAGAAGTTGTGGGCGTTGATATTCAAATTGCTTACTTCCTTTGTATTATTTGGATTCGGTGGTATTGTGGGATGAAGCGGCTCAGACCAACCTTACTTGTCCTTGCACGAGAGACTGGTTCCACTGACCGGCATGCAACTTGTATTGCATAAAAGTGACTTTGCGGGTGTCTATCTCTCCCACTTTAGTTGAATCTGATTTGACAATGGCGGTCCCTGTAGAAGGTTAAAATGTAACTCGTATATCACCATTGTGGTTTTGCGTAGATAAGAACGGTTCTTATAGTTTGCCCTAGCTGTGACATAAAAACTGCAACAACAAAGTAGAGAACGTCTAACTTGTTTTTTCAGGGCATGTTGTGATGTGGTATGGACAAAACGTGGTGTGATGTATGTTGATGTATGAGATAATCATATTTTGTAATAGGTTACTTGCATGTTGATGAGTACAGTAACCGTAAAGGGCCATAATGTTGTGATTAATTTATTGTATGACCTGCGTGTCAATCATTAAATGCCATGTAATTGCTTTACTTTATTATTATGAGTTAGCAATAATTGGCGAAGACAACTACGTGACGGCACGATGATGGATACCATGATGATGGAGATCATGATATCATGCCGGTGACGATGAAGATCATGCCGGTGGTTTGAAGATGGAGATCAAAAGCACAAGATGATAATGACCATATCATGTCACATATTGATTGCATGTGATGTTTATATTTTTACTAGTAAGTTTGCACGTGCAACGCATGTTTAAAAGTAAATAATAGTGTTTCAAAACATGTATATTTTAAAGGGATACACAACGTTTGTGATATCACTTAAAAATATATTTTTTTAAATGAACATCAGCCTAGAACATAAAGAGATGGATACTAAAAATACAAGATACCATAACCTCCTAACTTTTAAAACAAAATTCTTTCTTGCATGAAACTCCCTGATGTGACCTTTGTTAACTGAAACTGTTGTGCAAATAATATAAATTAAAATGTTAGCCTTATTATTATTATTTTTATTGTTGAGCGCGCAACATAGCAATTCCAAATTTTTAAAAAGTATTTACATAACACAACACAATGGAGAATAAAGAAACATCCGCTAGATAAATCAGACACACAATCTGTCCTTGAAGCTTTGCTGTAAGAAAAGCATGCTTAATCCATCACAGAACCAAATCCACTATTGATTACAAAATTATTCATCTGTCAATCATCTGCTACCAGTATCCAAGCATTCAGCACAATTTGATCATACACACTCCAGTACAATTTATGTTCATTCTCAATGGAACGAAAGCAGAACAACTACTACATTACGCCTACTGAACATTTCTTCAATGTCGGTTCACATGCCATATAGTCTTTCCTTTGTCTTGCTATTTCATGTGCCAAAACAATTTATTGCCATCGTCGTCTTAGTAAATTCTTACTGATGAAATTAATCGGCTGTGAACAAAGCAAACTTTTGTATAATGATCAGGCTATTTGCCATGAATGCCAGCTTACTATGACATTTTCTACTATAATAGTCCAAGAAGCTGAGCTGATGGGTGACCAGAACCTACACAATGTTCTAACATCAGTTTGTAGACATACATAGTTTTGTTCCTTCCTTTCTTATAGATACTGTTCTACAATTTCCATAAAAAGTATTAACAAAAGCCTGCTGAAGGATTCTGAAAAGTATCACAAATATAAATCAAGGATGACACATATTGAACATTTCTTTCAATGCTTGTATTCCTGCATGTTGTTTCCCATATATCCTACCTAATTAGGATAGTTGAAGTATTTATGTGTAAAATACATTTCACCTACCATCAACGCATTTTGGTAACAGCAAGCATATCCGAGGAAACAACACAGGAAAATCTAAATAATTAAAATCTAGCCAAAAGATAATCTCATGAGTATGTGCACCTAATGATAAGCTGAAATAAAGTTGATCAACAGGGAAGAAAATGCGTTTAGAGACACGCGGCTCGCACCTCTGTAGCCAAGATTTCATTGTCTATTATTGCATTGTGCCACATATCTTACAACCTCTTTATTTTCTGCAACAAAATATCATGAATATAATCACAATACAAAAAGATGATGTACTCCTTTACTAAATTATTGTTTTGCCAGAACAGAGTACACTGAAAAACAGTACTGAATTTTACTGAAACTCAAGAGATCTGCAGTTTGAACAGAAAAGGTTCAAAAGTGGGGGTCTCTGCCAATGCAAATGGTTATATTCCTCCGCACAATGCATATTAAATGGCTGAAATTTTTGCAAAGTACCGTTAGCATAGGGCTACAACCTCCTCCATGAAAGAAGCTATTGTTAGCAGCAATGGGAGTAACTACATATACATACTCCTTTTATAGTCTGAATGAAAGAAATAAAACAAAATATATTATGCTGACTCTTACCAAGTCCTCTTCCAGTCTTTGGTGTTGGGAAGTCAACAAATACCCAAACAGCCAAGACGTGACCATTCTGTATGGTCTACTGGCGTAGATAAAATTCCAAGGACATCATATGGGTATGTTAACATGACTGGCTCTACAAAGGTCGATGTTCCACAAGCACAACAATTCCTCCTAGTCAGTCTTCATGCAGTCATGTTAATCCAAGTTTGATTGTAGACGTACTGTTCATTGTGCTCATCCACAATATGGAGAAATTAAGATTATGTTAAACAACATAGATCAGAATTATTTCTTATGGTAAATTACACTTATACAAAATAGACAGAAATAAGTTTTTCATGATATCTAGCCATGCTTATCCTGGACAGCAAAAACTATAGCCAGTTCCGAACAAAAGAACAGGGAGGTGATCTTACATATTTAAGTGAACGATAGAGTTTACCTCAGAATGCTTCAAGTCACGTGTCCTTACCCCTGACATGATTCCCAAATCCCAAGCTCTATATTCCTGGCACATGGGACTTGCACATCATCTGTAGTCAAAGGCAGAAAAAGTTCAGTGAAGAACTTGTTAGTCGTTCTCGTTACTCCATCTATGTTGTCCTATCAGACTAAACAGAACAACTACTACATTACGACTACTGAACTGACATAGAGGGTGTGTAAATTTGCACACAAATCAGAGAGATACAGACAATGAACTATCATAGCTAGACATATGTATGAACTAACAAGAAAAATGGAAGATTCACACAAAGGGGAAGAGAGGTGGTGGAGCTGAACCGTGCAGGAGGAGTCCGGACACTGGCTGCTGGGTGGATAGGAAGGAGACGACGATGGCGACCTCATGGAGCAGCCAGGGGACAGTAACCTCCTGGATCCGTGGTGAAGGCGTGGAAGAAGTAGAGGATTGTATCCTCTTCTGGATCAGAGGCTTGTCCAGATCGAGTTGGTAACTGAATGGTATCACCCGCCGCAACGATCGCCGCCGGCCTAGTAGCGCGCAGGCTCCCGCTCCGCGGTTGCCGTAGCATCTCGACTAGCGCCTCAGCCTGCGGAATCGCAAAACAAATTAGTACCCCGTATATCGAAAGCTGTAAATTCTGTTTGTGATTGTAATGGCCAAAACGAGTGTGCTTCAATGAGGAGCTCGTGATTGGTACATTGGTTTTGAGCTTGGGGCGCGCACGGAGGAGGACTTGGAGAGGGCGACGAGGGGAGGGATGGCGCCCTCGCGGGCAACCATGGTGTGGTAGGCCGCGTTGTCGTCACAAATCTGGAGGAGGGAGAGCGTGGTGATCTCCTTCTGCTGTGAGGTCCCGACCTCCACCATCTCCACCAGGACGGGGATGTCGCCCTCCTCCACGGTGGCGGAGCGGCCCTTGGCAAAGCCCACCAGGGAGTGGAGCACGTAGGAGGCCTTATCCACCATGCTGGACTCCAGGTCCAGCAAGGGGCGCACGTAGGCGGTTCTCGCGCGCCCCGCTGCAGAGCGCGTAGAGCGCCGTGGCGGCGTCCTTCTTCCTGCGTGCCCAGCCGGCCTCGTGGAGGGACACAAGCAGCGCGACGGCTCCCACGCGGCCGACCGCGGCGGCGGCGGCGCCGTCGAGCTGGGAGAGGCGGAGCAGCGCGCAGGCGGCGTTCTCCCTGGCCGTGGGCGACGCGGCCGACTTGAGCTCGCACACGAGCGGTCGTATCGCGCCGGCCTCGACCACGATGGCCTTGTTCTCGTCGCAGATGGAGAGGCTGAGCAGTGCCGTGACCCCGTGCTCCTGCAGCAGTGGGTCGGTGTGCGACAGCAGCGCCACGAGCGGCCGCACTGCCCCGGACGCCGCAATGCGGATGCGGTTGTCCGGGTTGTGCTTGGCGAGCAGCCGCAGCTCCATGGCCGCGCGGTGGAGCGGGTCGACCGACGTCGAGGGCGACTCGAGCTCGGCCACAAGCGAGGAGATGGAGCCGTCGGACGCCCGGCCGCGCAGGAGAGCAGCAGGCGGTGGATGCCCGCGGCGGCGGCGGCCGTGAAGGAGAGGTCGTCGTTGCCGCACTCGCTGAAGGGCTCGGAGGGAGGTGGGAGGAGGTGAATGGTGAGTGACGGGTGGACAAAACGAAAGGATAATGGGAGACGTGGGCGAGGTGGGGTCCCCGACGACGTGCGGGATGATTCGATGCGGTGTGGATTAGGGTTTCATTAACGAAGGCAAATAATAGATTAACCCAATGGCATGATGGGTAATTAAAGCATAAAACACGTTTAGTAGACTGGAGGGATGTAGACCATCGGATTGCAGGTTTTGATGGATAGGATGATTTGGTTCTCCGCCCTCTCGTGCTTTTATAGTGGTAGTAGATGCATCTTATTTTGCTTAGGACGATGGTAGCATTATAAGATGATCCCTTCACTTAATTTAAAGATAAAATTGTTCTCTCTAAGTATGCACCTTTGCGAAAGTTCGTAGTTTTGAAGACCTCATGATGATCGGGTGTGATAGACTCTACGTTCATATACAACCGGTGTAAACCAGTTTTTATAATGCGGAATACTTGGTTAAACTTGACGATCCTAGCATGCACAGACATGGCTTCGGAGGATTGAAAGGTCGTTCATGAGTCATATAGTAGATATGATCAACATGGAGATGTTCACCATTGATGACCTGACGTGATGATCAGGCATGGGTTGGTTGATTTCGATCATGTAACACTTAGACAACTTGACGGGTGTTGATTTAAGTGGGAGTTCATTATTAATATGATTAATTGAACCAATTATCATGAACATAGTCTTAATGTCTTTGGAATTATGTTGTAGATCAATGGTTCGTGTTGTAGCTCCTCTGAATTTTAATGTGTTCCTAAAGAAAGAAAAGTTGAAAGATAATGGAAGCAACTATGCGGATTGGGTTCATAATCTGAGGGTTGTCCTCACTGTTGCACAAAAGGCTTATGTCCTTGATGCACCGCTAGGTGAACCACCCACTCCTAAAAATCTAGACGCTATGAACATCTGGCAGACAAGGAATGATGACTACACGATAGTTCTGTGCGCCATGCTTTACAGCTTAGAACCAAGGCTCCAAATATGTTTTGAGCACCACGAAGCATATGAGATGTTCCAGGAGCTGAAATTGGTATTTCAGGCTCATGCCCTGGTTGAGAGGTATGACACCTCCGACAAGTTCTTTAGCTACAAGATGGAGGAGAACAACTCCATTAGCGAGCACATAATCAAGATGTCTGAGTACTACAACTACTTCAATCAATTGGGAGTTAATCTTCCGGATGAAGTAGCGATTGATAGAGTTCTCTAATCACTACCACCAAGCTACAAGGGCTTTGTGATGAACTATAATATGCAAGGGATGGAGAAAATGATCCCTGAGCTTGTCGCGATGCTTAAGGCCGCGGAGGTAGAAATCAAGAAATAGCATGAACTGTTGATGGTCAATAAGACCACTAGTTTGAAGAAAGGCAAGGGAAAGAAAGGGAACTTCAAGAATAATGGAAAGGCAGGTGCCTCTCCTGTGAAGAAACCCAAGGCTGGACCCAAACCTGAGACTAAGTGCTTCTATTGTAAGGGGAATGGCCACTAGAAGCGAAACTGCCCCAAGTACTTGACAGATAAGAAGGTTGGCAACATCAACAAAGGTATATTTGATATATGTGATATTGATGTGTACCTTACTAGTGCTCGTAGTAGCGCCTGGGTATCTAATACTAGTTCGGTTGCTAATATTTGTAACTCGAAATAGGAGCTGCGGAATAAATAAAGACTAGCTAAGGACAAGGTGATGATGCGCATTGGAAATGGCTCCAAGGTTGATGTGATCGCCCTCGGCACGCTCCGTCTACCTTTGGGATTAGTTTTAAACCTAAATAATTGTTATTTGGTGCCTACACTGAGCATGAACATTATATTTGGATCTTTTTTATTTCGAGACGGTTATTCATTTAAGTTAGATAATAATGATTGTTCTATTTATATGAATAATATCTTTTATGGTCATGCACCCTTGTGAATAGTTTATTCTTATTGAATCTCGATTGTAGTGATAAACATGTTCATAATATTGATGCCAAAAAATGCAAAGTTAATGATGATATTACCACATACATGTGGCACTGCCGCTTAGTTCATATTGGTGTTAAGCACATGAAGAAACTCCATGTTGATGGACATTTGGAATTACTTGATTATGAATCATTTGAAACATGTGAACCATGCTTCCTGGGCAAGATGACTAAAACCCTGTTTTCTAGAACAATGGAGTGGGCAAGTAACTTATTAGAAATAATACATAGTGATGTATGCGGTCCGATGAGTGTTGAAGCATGCTATGTATATCATTATTTTCTTATCTTCACGGATGATTTAAGTAGATATGGGTATATTTACTTAATGAAACAAAAGTCTGAAACATTTGAAAAGTTTAAGGAATTTCAGAGTGAAGTGGAGAATCACCATAAGAAGAAAATAAAATTTCTACAATCAGATCATGGAGGTGAATATTTGAGTTACAAGTTTGGCTCACATTTAAGACAATATGGAATTATTTCACAACTCACGCCACCCTGGAGCACCAAAGCGTAATGGTGTGTCTGAATGTCATAATTGTACTCTATTGGATATGGTGCATTGTATGATGTCTCTTACTGATTTTCCACTATTGTTTTGGGGTTATGCATTAGAGACATCCGCATTCACTTTAAATAGGGCACCGTCTAAATCTGTTGAGACGACACCGTATGAACTTATGGTTTGGCAAGAAACTAAAACTGTCATTTCTTAAAGTTTGGGGATGCGACACTTATGTCAAGAGGCTTCAGCCTGATAAGCTCAAACCCAAAGGGAAAAAGTGTGTCTTCATAGGTTACCCTAAAAAGACTATTGGGTACATCTTCTATCACAGATCAGGTCTTGTTGCCAAGAATGGATCTTTTCTTGAGAAGGAGTTGTACCTCCTCTCAAATTAGAGAGTAAAGCATCACAGAAACAAGTTCCCGTGATGCCTACACCAGCCGGGAAGGAAGCTAATGATGATGATCATGAAACTTTGGATCAACGTACTACTAAACTTTGTGGGTCAACCAGGGTATGTTCCGCACTAGAGTGGTATAGTAATCATGCCCAGGAAGTCGTATTGTTAGACAACAGCGAACCTACAAACTATGAAGAAGTAATGATGAGTCCGGATTCCGACAAATGTCTTGAGGCCATGAAATCCGTGATAGGATCGATGTATGAGAACCAAGTATGGACTTTGGTAAACTTACCCGATGACCAGCAGGCCATTAAGAACAAATGGATTTTTAAGAAGATAGAAGTTGATGGTAATGTCACTATCGGTGCAACAAACCCAGGTGTGTTGCCCTGACTGTACACAGGCATAAGAGCAAGGTTACAACATCCAAGACGAGACCAAGTAGAAGAGATAGCTCTTTGAGAAATCTAAGAGCGAATCAAGAAGACCAAGTCAAGCTGAAAGAGCAAGATGCCACTAAGGAAAAACCTCCCTTGCCGGGCAGGCGAGCCTAGCGGGGTCTAGGTTGCCCCGAAGACAAATCTCAAGACTGCCCCGGCAAGCTTACCGGGAGCACTAAGGGCGGACTACCCCGCCAAGGTTCCACCGCTCCACCTCACAGCAATGCAAGTCATTGATTGGTGCGGTGTCAAGCCCCCAAGTAACTAAGTGGCTGTTATTTGACACATGGCAACCACTTCCAAAGGAAATCACCTCCAAATGACACCCATCCAGAGGCATGTCAAGCAAACATACAAGAAGGTGGCCGAATGGCCTGGCAAGCCTTGCCGGGCACACCATGATGTGACACTAAGCTTCACATTTAATGCGCTCTGCTTTGTGTGCATAGTTAGGTATGATAGCACTGTTTGCTATCTAATCAGTACACAATGACTGATTTGCCATTGTGGTGACCCCTTGATCTATAAAAGGAGGGCCATGGAAACATTAGAAAGGATTCGGACCCTTGCACACTCATACGCGCATAGCTGCTCTCGCCCCGAGGCAACCCTGCCGGGCTAGAGCGACGTGTCTCCACCACAATCCTCTCATCAATCCACCAAAGCAGGAGTAGGGTTTTACGCCTTGCGGCAGCCCGAACCTGGGTAAATTGCCTGTGTGATTGTTGCCGTGCTGCCTCTGCACCCTCCGCTCTTTGTGCAATGTGCTCTTCCCCCCTACCACACCACAAGGGGCTGATGGTCCCATAGGTGGTCGTGGTTTCCCACGACATCTTTGGCGTGCCAGGTAGGGGGAGGCACTTGCGTGAACCCGAGAGTGTATGCATCCCGTCATCTTCATCATCATTTTCTTCATCGATGGCTCCATCACCCATGGCACCCAAGAAAAAGCCCAGCGCCATGCTACCTCTTGAGCACTGCGTTGGATTTCCCCGAAGAGGAGAGGATGATGCAGTAAAGTAGCGTAAGTATTTCCCTCAGTTTTTGAAAACCAAGGTATCAATCCAGTAGGAGACCACACACAAGTCCCTCGTACCTACACAAAACGATAGGAACTCGCAACCAACGCTTAGGGGTTGTCAATCCCTTCACGGTCACTTACGAGAGTGAGATCTGATAGAGATAATATTTTTGGTATTTTTGATAGATAGATGCAAAGTAAAAAGTAAAAACAAAGCAATTAAATAAAGTGATATAGATTGATATGATGAGAATAGACCCGGGGGCCATAGGTTTCACAAGTGGCTTCTCTCAAGAGCATAAGTATTCTACGATGGGTGAACAAATTACTGTTGGGCAATTGACAGAATTGAGCATAGTTATGAGTATATCTAGGCAATGATCATGTATATAGGCATCACGTCCAAAACAAGTAGATCGAAACGATTCTGCATCTACTACTATTAC